GGTATTGTCGACAAGAGGGAGGGCTGTGTTTATTGTTCAATGTTATATGCCCTGGTTACGCACAGTATACACGTGATTGTACGAAATGAAATGGAAATAAAACATATTTACAAGGAAAAAAAAAAGAAGATGTTGGATAGCCATTTGTCTGAAGTGGTGTAGGGTTTCCTGCCTAAGCAGGGGGTTGGACTAGAAGTCCTCTAAGGTCCCTTCCAACTCTGCTATTCTATTCTAATATTTGCCTTGGAAAAAGCCTAACCTGGAGAATTTCTCTCTTGTAATGATCCAGCACTTTCTGTTTTAAGCCGCTGTTGCACACCGATTGCAGGCAAACGAGCCTTAGTATCTTAATCAAAGGATACTTTCGGGCAATGCAGTCTTCTACGTAGCTGTTGATCTGCGGAGGAGGAGGAGAAAAAAAAAATCCAGTTCAAATTTTCAACCAAAATCTCACAAAGAGGGTTTACCTTCCTTGCAGAATCGACTCCCTGCTGAAGAAGATATGGGAGAGTTTCTGTGCTGACAATCTTTCGCACCAATCCTACACAAAGGTTGCCTTTTCACCCATCCGGTTTTCGTTCACCCATGCCGGCTGGAGGATTCTGGGAGTCGAAGCCCACCCATCTTGTAAACCCGCCGAAGTAGAGGAAGATTGGCAAAAAGGACTAGTTTGGCCCACAGCTAACCTGGCTTTCAAAGGTGCTTAAACCCCCAAATTATGGATGCCAGTTTTGGGGTGTGAATGCCCTCTCCCCCCCCCCCCGGCCAGATATACATCCTTTCAATTCCACAGGAGATTAAGTTTGTGCAAAACACGTCAAGCTGTTTTGAGGAAATATTGGCCTACCTTATCGGTATCTATGCCGGACATAAATTCTTGCTCCACTGTTAAATTATCGAAAAAGTCTTCGGAGGCTTAGAATAGAAAAATGAAACCAGTTGTAAAGGAGGGACGTTAACGGGATCCTCAGATATTTTCATAGCAGGGAGACCGCTGAGATCTGGCCAATGGCCAATACCAAAGATTCGGCCTGATCCTCATTCAATACAATACAATAGCAGAGTTGGAAGGGACCTTGGAGGTCTTCTAGTCCAACCCCCTGCCTAGGCTGGAAACTCCCCACCACTTCAGATAAATGGCTATCCAACATCTTCTTTAAAACTTCCAGTGTTGGGGCATTCACAACTTCTGGAGACAATTTCTGTTCCACTGATTAATTGTTCTCACTGTCAGGAAATTTCTCTACCTGGAAGGTTATTCCCCCC